AAAAATTTAATCGAATCCAAAAGATGCAACCTTAAATTCTTACCGCTTTATTCTCCAATGATAAATCCAAGAGCAAGAGCTGAGCTGTGTGACGTTTCAATGGAACATAACATTGTTGATGTAATCGAGCGAAGTATTCAAAAGCTTACTCGGCAAGATTGTTCTAACTACGTTATGGACATGGTTTTGAAAATCCCACAAGACTGCAAGTCGGGAACCCCTTCATTAAGATAAGCAGTTACCTTATCATCAACAATTTATTAAGTCAAATATGTATTTCGCATTTAGGACCGGGTATTCAATTCTTGTTCTTAAATATTTATTTATTAAAAAGTCAAGAAATATCCCTGTTTGTATTACTATTTATTTAGTTTTATGTAGTAAATATATTAAATGAAATCACACCGACTTAAAGAATATTTATGTTAATTACATAGGCATACAACTATATTTGTTAATATTCTTTGATTTAATTTGCAAATATTGGTTTAAAATTACTGCAAATATTACATTTCCTTAGATAAGAATAAAGGTTTCATTTAAATTGGAAAAAGTTGCATTCTATTTGTAAAAGGTTTCATTTCAATTGGAAAAGGTTTCATTCTATTTGTAAAAGGTTTCATTCCAATTGGAAAAGGTTTCATTTAATTTGGAAAAGGTTTCATTTAGTTTGGAAAAGGTTTCATTTCATTTTTAAAAGGTTTCATTTAATTTGGAAAAGGGTTCATTTAATTTGTAAAAGGTTTCATTCAATGTGGAAATGCTATATATATATATATATATATATATAACCAGATAGTTAATTTAATTTGTTTTAAAATAAAAAATTAAATGACTTTGATATATTTACGAAACCACACTGAAGCTAAGCTTTACGTTTTATTTTGTTTCATTATACTAATAATATTTTTTTCAATTTCTGCAAAAATTTCAAACCCAAGGTGAATAGAAACAAGGCGAAATAAATGTCTGTTGTTGCTTACTCAAGGTCGAGGGACGAGGTATTGAGTTTGTATTAGTGTCAAAAGTACTAACGTCAGGGTTGTACGTAATATATCCGGGATTCGACTGTGATGATTCAGCATTTACAATTTCATTTATTGGACATATTATATTACTGTCCATGTTGTTTGTATTTCTAGCTGAAAGCCCAGCAAGAGGATGCGCGTTTGTTGCATTAGTTATATCTGGCGGTTCTAAACTATGTGAATATTCATTAAAATTGTGATCACCATTAGGTATTGTGGGTGGTGTTGCTGTACTGTCAGTAGTGATATTCGATTTTGTTTGTTTTTCCAAATTTTTTGGTGAAGATGAGCAAAAAATCGTAGTTGGAAGAAATTCTTTTTGCTGAAAAAGTGGCGCACCGCGCGGAGGTGCCATTACATGTCGCGAAAATGGATGAACATTTGTTGATGAAGTACTATGTAATGACATAAAAAATAAAGAAGCATGGACAATATAGTATACGTACATATTAACAAACAATTTGTAATAGTGATTTTGACACTTTTCCAAGTCAACAAAAACAATCTTCATCCTGCATTTGTTTCAATCCCTCAACGTTTCTGCAACACATTTTTTAGTATAACTAGCAGCTTCCTTTTTTGATGGTAATACTATATCTCTTCTCTATCTCTATATATATAAAAATTAGGTGTCGGACCGATTTTGACCAAACTTGATGTATAAGATCAATGGGGCGTGAGGAGTGTTTCTGGGTAGTTTGAAGATCATCCGACAGATGGCGCAAAATTATTTTTTTTTTTTGCACCGTAATTTAAGATTTCTTCACCGATTTGTATCAAACTTTCTGCACAAGCATGGGCGTAATGAGTGTTTCTTAAGTCATTAGGCGTAGTGGCGTTAATTAGCCTGGTACCGACTCAAACCCAACATTTTTTCGTGAAAAAAATGAAATTAAGTAAATAAAGATCACTATTTTGTAACTCTATTTGCCCGATAAATCTATGTTATGTTTCGATAACCAGTTTTCGTGAAAAGTACGTGGATATTAAACAACAAATATTTACTTATTAAATTGAAGTTAATTTTACTTTAATGTACCTACATATAAAAATACTGAGAAAGGTGTAGTAAGTCATTAATTGAGAACGGCTGGACCGATTTTACTCAAAATTTCTTTTACTTGTCTGAAATTGAAGTGATATGCCCACGTTTTCCATATCAAGAGTTAGTCTATTTGAAAATATAAATTATCCTATGTGAAGCAATTTGCATGAAATATCTAAGTTGTGACATAAAAAATAGTAAAACGTAGAAGAATGGAAAATAAGTTTACATTCTGAATCGAGTAAGATCCATGCCCTATATTAATATGTTCCATAGGAAAATGTTGTTCCTTAAGGTACCTAAAATTTTGGTATGCCACGGGAAATATAAAATCAGGTGGTTCCATAAAACGTTGGTTGGTCAATATATTTGAACTTTTTACTTACCACGTATATATCCGATACAAAAAAAGTGTATCATAGAGAAAAAATTCTACCGTTAAGCTCAACTGAAACCAGTAAGGAAAGTTCAAAAGTCGGACGGGCCGATTATATGATACCCTTCACCACTTTGGGTTCATAGAAGATTTTTGGATACATCAATGTGCAAATTTTGTCTCATTCGCAGCAAAATTGGAAGTTTGGTGCACCTTTACATAAAATCGAACGAATCTATATGTGGGAGCCATATCTTAATCTGATCCGATTTCAACAAAACTTGGCATACATCAATCTACACCTATTTCTGTGCAAAATTTTGTCTCAATAGGACCAATGTTGGGAGTTTGGCGCACCACTTACATAAAATCGGACGAAACTATGTATGGGAGCTATATATAAATCTGAACCGATTTTCTATAATTTTAATTGGGTTTGTCCTTGGACCAAATAAGTGACATTTTAGCCAAATCGGATCATAAATGCGACCTGTACTTTGCTCACAAAAATACATGGACGGACGGACAGACGGGCATGCATAAATGGACTCAGAAAGTGATTCTATGCATATTCTCAAAAGGAACCATGGGTCTATCTCGATTATTTTTGCCTGTTACAAACATATGCACAAAGACACAGTGTGTTGAAGGGTATAAAAATAACCACTATGACAAAAAAACAATCTATATATATATATATATATATATAAATTACGTGTATGTTCGTGATCGCTAAACTCAAAAACTACTGCACCGAATTTTACCAAATAATATATACAGCCTCTATGGGGCATGAGGAATTTGAAGTTCATCTGACAGTTGGCGCAATATTTAGTTTTTTGTGTCGAATTGTATGTGGAGGTTCTATGGGGCGTGAGGAGTGTTTCTTCGTAGTTTGAAGTTCATCGCGAGTTACGTATCCGTACCCCATTGACCCCTACGCCCCTGCAAACATAAACCACATAATATTGAAATATACCAAATAAGCAAACACAACAGAAACTAGCGGCAGCAACAAAAAGAGTTTATGTTTGTTTTCAATTTCATGATTGCGAAACGCATAATTTGCTGATCGAACCGAAAAAATAAAGTTCTAAAACCTAAGTTCGAATTTTGTTTTTCTCCGGAATTATTACTGGTGCAGTCATGGTTATTTTATTCTAAAGAATAAAATAAAAAAAACCTCCGCTAAAGCGAAAATATATACATTAAACAAAAACTCTTTTAAATAATCAAAATATATTATAAATAAAGCAGCTACTGTTATCTATGCACAAGCAAGCGAGCAAATCAACACACTCCAGCAAGTGATAGTTCAACAAGAACGACGGATTCTAGAGCAACAGCAACAACTCCAACAACAAACCCTAACACATCCAAACAACAACAACCAAATTAATGATTTAACCATATCCCCTAGGGACATCATAGAACAAAATAGACGGACCATTGAGAGCACATCTAAACGGGGACGAAAAAATGATAGACATTATTCCAAAATACACAAGATTAGGGGTACTCTATGATAAAAGAACAATCCAACATAACCACAGATCAGTAGCAAGAAAGAACAGCGAGGCAGAAAAACAGCGACAAAAATAATACACAAAAAACACAATCAATTAATAGAGCTCACAGAACAAACGATTCTACACAAAGAAGACTTTCACATATGAAGACTTTCACATATATAGCCATATTGGTAATAGTGACATAGAGAGACTCAACAACACATTAACGGAAAAAATAAGAACACTTAATCTGAAAGAAAAAATACCAATAATAACACAATCCATAAAGCTATTACATACTATAATGATAACTACCATAGTACTATTAAGTGCACACCACTCGAAGTACAAAACTTTATGGTAGACCACAACACTATATACGAACGGTTAAAAGGAATAAAAAAGAAAAGCATAGACAAGGCAAATCGAAGTAGAGAAATCTACATAGAAAATAGACAGGTCGGGTTTATAAAAAAATTATAAGAATGTAAAAGAAGAACCTAAATTTAGAAAACACAGTTTTACCGGAATACATGAATCTAATATTAAAATACCTAATAAATTCTCATCAGAACCTATTCCAGACAGTGATCCTGCTAACATTGCTGATTACCCAAACGACAATTTCGAGAGCGGATTTCAAAATAACCCCAATTGACAACGATAACGGATATACCATTCTTAATACATTCGAAACTAACATTGTAAACGAAACCAAAATTGTCCTACATGTAATACAACCAATAGAAATATTTGACATTATCGACGCTCTAGAACAAAACACAATTAACTTAGGTATCAACTAAAAGAACATAATAAACAACCAAATAAACATCCTTAGAACAAAATTTGCCATCAAGTAAGAGAAATAAATGGGGCCTTCTGAATGTCGTAGGTACAGCCCACAAATGGCTCTTTGGCCTAATGGACGACGACAGGCAAAATATAATACAAAATTAAGACGTTTCTAACAGTAACAACCATAATATTATACAAACAATTAATCCGCAAGTAATTATTAACACTAATTTCAATGAAAGTTTATGTTTAATAAAATATAGTATTTTAGACGATAGAAAGAAAATTAATAATGCAACAAACACCATCCAAACACAAAACTCGGAGATACGAAGTCAATTGTTATTCAATGAAGTACTTATTAAATTAAAATTTTTAGAAAACAAAGTTGACCAAATAATAGAAAACATATACTCTGCTAAACACTACATCTTCCATCCCTCTATACTAACATCTGAAGAAATAGATAAATACAATATAGATTTCTATAAGTTAAGTCTGATGAAAATGGGTGTACTACTATACAACAACAACTGTTTAATATTTTCAATAAAAATACCTATAAACTATTCAAAACACATTGTAAAAATTATCGTTCCTATACCTAACCAGAAGTTCTATGAAATAGATGAATATTAACAATATATATTATACTTACGACAAAGATAAAACTCTAGAAAATTATTTTGAAAAAATTCTTGATTTTATTACATACAACAACAAAACATTTAGAAATAAAATAACATTTAATGATATTGTACTCATAAACACTAAAAATATAGAAAAAAATGAAGAACTAAAACAACATCAAAACATCTCATATTCCCTAATCTTGGTTGTATTTGTAGTGATGGTGATTGGTACGACAATTATCATTTATATCTTTAAAGGAAAATCCATAAATATAAAAGTTAATGAAAGAATTCAGGAGAATCCTTCGACAATGGGGGGAGGAGTTACGTATCCGTACCCCATTGACCCCTACGCCACTGGAAAAATAAACCACATAATAATGAAATATACCAAATAAGCAAACACAACAGAAACTAGCGGCAGCAACAAATAGAGTTTCTGTTGGTTTTCAATTTCATGATTGCGAAACGCATAATATGCTGAGCAGACATTCCCACTTTGTAACATTTAGTTATTTAAATTAAATTAAGTACAAGTAAAGTTAGTTCTAAGAAAGAACCGAAAAAATAAAGTTCTAAAACCTAAGTTCGAGTTTTGTTTTTCTCCGGAATTATAACTCGCGTGGGTGTAAAACGAAAAAAATATTAACATATCAAATTGAAGTAAAATTGATTTAAATCTGCTAATAAAAATTATGTAAGAAGCGTATAATAGCTCCTCAATTTGAGAACTGCGGGACCGATTTTACTAAAATTTTCTTTCAGTTATCTATAATTGAAGTTGGAAGGCTTTTATAAAAGAAAATTTTGGAAGAATACTCAAAAATCTTTAAAAACACAAGTTACAGAGAAGTTTCTTACCCTACATGAAATACCGAATTAAAGACAATTTATAGGGTATTTTTTACTACTTTCAATGTATCTGAAATCAGACAATGCAAAATGTCGACTTTCCATAGCTAGCTAAGTTGTTGAGGTATTTGTAATCATTTGTAGCGATTATTGAACATTTTAAATGGATATTTTGGCATATCCTAAATATAACAACGTATATATATATATATTGCTGGTTTAGATTCCTATTTAGAATACGTTCATGTTTCAGCCAATGATTCAGATATCGTGTGATTATATCCCATTTGTTGGTTTTATAACATAGACAAATTGGCTCGCCATTATTGTGCGTTTTTAAAGCCTCTTTATCTTTGGTACATATTTTGCATAGTCTGATTTTGAAAGTAGTAACAAATACCCTATAAATTGCCTTTAATTCGGTATTTCATGTAGGGTAAGGAACTTCTTCGTAAATTTTCGGTATAGTACTTTATGGTATATGTCCCACATAATGGTAGGCTTATCGGTCCAGCCGTTCTTTCAAAATATGTTTTTCAAGATTCAGTAGTGTTGGCGGTTTATTTGGGATACCATTTGTATTTTGTTTTTGCAAAATAGTCAGGCTGAATCCCAGTTTGTTGTTTTTATAAAAAAAACAACTATTTATTAGTGGGGAATGTATGGCATTGTTTGCCGAGGGGTAAGGCAGGGAAGACTATAGTTTCGGATCACGCCACTGATCCTCATCAGTTCCCTTAGTTTTTTGTTGGGATATTCTCCCCAGAAGCTATTGCTTCTATACAAAAAACCTTTCATACCCAAATGTCTCTTGTAACAAAGCGAAGTACTTAGCTGACCAACGACATAAACTGCATGAGAATTTCGCTGGAGCCTCACTTCGAGGTTAACAAGGCATTTACAAACAATACCACACCTTTCCCACTGTTGTGTGTTGTCACATCGCGACAAATGCACACAACGACTTTGTTGGTGTTGCTGGTGTACAGCAACAAACCAAACAGTTTAACCGTGCCTGCGTCTACAACTTCAGTAGTGTTGGCGGTTTATTTGGGATACCATTTGTATTTTGTTTTTGCAAAATAGTCAGGCTGAATCTCAGTTTGTTGTTTTTATAAAAAAAAAACAACTATTTATTAGTGGGGAATGTATGGCATTGTTTGCCGAGGGGTATGGCAGGGAAGACTATAGTTTCGGATCACGCCACTGATCCTCATCAGTTCCCAGTTTTCCAGTATTTTTCTCAAAATGTTCTATCATAAAAACTTTCCCACTTCAGTTACATATAACAGAAAGAAAATTGTAGTCAAATCGGAGTTGCTATACATTGTTTACATAATTTTATAATCTTTTTTCGATTGACTCCCACGCGTTTTTCACGAAAACTGTTTATTTATAAATTGGTGTCGGAATACTAAACGTCGAAATTAACTATATGGCGCGCCATATGTCGGACCAACTTATGATTAAACAGAAAAACTCCTCACGCCCCATAGAGCATATACATAAAGTTTCGTCAAAATCGATGCAGTAGTTCTTGAGTTACGGTGCAAAAACACAAAAAAACTATATATTGCGCCATCTGTCGGATGAACTTCGAACTACACAGAAACACTCCTCACATCCCGTAGAGGCTGTACATACAATTTGATCAAAATAGGTGCAGCAGTGTTTTTGTTTAGCGATCACGAACATACACGTAATTTGTATATATATAGAGATAGAGTTATGGGAAGTATATATATATATATATATATAAATTCGAATCCTACATGGGAAAAATTGCGCATTACATGCTCTAGGTGTCTAACTTATATGTGCCTTTATTGTTTCTTAAAAAAAATATATTTTTCATGATGTGAAAAATGTTTCCATTGAGAACGACTGCACCAATTTGACTCACATTTTCCTACGGTTGTTTTTAATTGCTGTGGGAAGAATTTTGCCAGAAAAAGAAAATTTTGAGAAAAACATAAAAAAAGTCGGAGATTGAAGTAAAAGAACTTCGAAATCTTTGTTTGAACTTCGTCAAAAGTGGTTTGATTGAGCTTGAGCTTTCGCTCAAGAACGATTATGAAAAGGCATTTTAAGGCATTTAGATCACACACCTTAGAGAATAGAAAATAATACTTTTAGTCATGAAAATATTCAGATTGTTATGCTCTGAAAAGAAAAGAGCTTTTTACAACAACAACCTTAAAAAATTGGATTCGGTCAAATATAGTTTGGATTGGTGTGCATTTTCGAACAGGTTGAACAATAAAATATCGTCCCCGGGAGGAAATCTTACAGCTGACCGATTTACAACACATTTGAGCATGTTTTTTTAAGAAAATATAAAAGCTAAATTTATAAGTTGGTCCCTCCCATATGTTTTTGATCCATTTTTAGATCCTTCTTTTGAGTTTTTTTAATTAAAAAATATGCTGAAGTCCATAAAACCAAATAAATCACCGGGTAAAGATGGAATTCCTTACGAGTTTTATAAATTTTCTCCTGATATACTTTTAAAATATGTTTTATTTGTTTTTGATAAGATATTTTTGCAGTAGGAAATCCCTATGTCTTTTACACAATCAATATTGATACATCTTTAAAAAAAAGGGGACCTCAAATGTCTAAAATGTTCAATAAAAGTGTCTAAAATGTTCAATAATATTCTATTAAACCGTATAACCAGGTGGCTTACGCGAAATAGTGTTCTTAGTGAATCCGAAAAAGGCTATTCAACCGTTGACAATAATTTTAACATTGTGAATATTAATAATCATTGATGCTTTTTTTCAGGTATTTTTGATGAAAATAAAAAAACTGGTTTTTATTTCACATTTTGCTCGACGTTTCGTTGGCTTTTTTCCAACATTATCATGAGCGTTTTTATTGACAAAATAAAAATTATAATTTCTTTTTTTTTAAACTTACCTTAATTATTTTTCATTTTGTTTATTATTTACTTAAATTAAAATCGGGACTCATTTTGATGTTCCTTCATTCTCACACTAACATTCGCTTGGTTGTACCCACATACACTTTTCGTGTATGTGGGTACACATACACATTTCCGCATATTGTTTCGCTTCAAAATAATATAAATAAATGCACATATACATTCTTCGTTGATTGACCTAATCCCTAGAAACAGCCTATTTTACAAGCTAAATATAATGGTCCTGTCGTCAAAAATGATAAGAATTATACAGGGCATATTCGATAACACGACAACGAAAATCAGGGATGGACATTTTTATTCAAATTCGTCCTGTATAAACTCAGGCGTGAATTAAGGGTGCATTCTAAGTCCAACTCTCGAAATGTATTGTTGCAAATGGGATTTAAAAGTTAATTTATCCAAATCAAAAGAGTTAGTCTTCCGGAAATGCGGTAGAATATCTCCACAGAAATCGTTAACAGATATAATTACCTTGGAATTGAACTAACACACAATTTATCTTTCAATTCACATTTGCAATCAAAACTCATTTCTTCTAAGTTGGCTTTCAATTCAACATGGTCTAAATATATAAAAATAATTAAAAATAACTAAGAATAATAAATTGAAAATTTTAAATGCATGTTCAAGATCTATTATGTTTTACGGCTCACAGATATAGGGGTTTGATAAAAAGAGAACGTGGAAAAGCTGCTAAGATTTTTTATTAAAAGAAACTGGCCCTCCCTATACAGCCAAACTTTAAAATGCATTTTTGCTATATAAATAGTGTCTTGTGATTAGATTCCCATAGTTTACCAAGTATTCTTGCTGAAAAATCATGGAAAATAACATTTATTGGGCAAGAGAAGGGTCCTACCTATGTGAACAAATGCAATATCGCCCTCCTTATAACAAAGTACCAATAAGCAGATATTGGAAGGAGATTATCTGAACGAACCCGAAAACACACAACACTTTATTGGTGTATGTCCTATCTATTCGGTATACAGATTCCAATTTTTCGGAAAATATATGCTTAGAGAATAAGAAGTATTGGATGCTTTAAATGGTACGCATTTCGTTTCATTATATAAATATATATTGGCATGTAATAAATACATAAAACTTATAGTTAATGAATATAGTTAATAATTTTTGCAAGTAAATATTAAATCAAATCAATGTTGTATACACATATGGAAACAGCTATAAAGCAATGCAATTATATATGTAAAACACACTTAATTATCATTTAAGATACATTTAAATAATATTGGTGCTAACATAAAGTGTAATATGATCTATATATAAAATAAAAAAAATAATAAAATAAAGAAATATTCAGTTATCATGGTGAAAGACATCGAGCAGGAGGAAACACACAGTTCTATTATATTAAATCGGAACAAAAAGATTACGAGTTTGTTTCCATTCACA